AAAAGACTTCTGATGAAAGTCATAAAACCTTCAGTCTCCTTTGTGGCTATCTTCAAAACCAAAATGGACTTGATGTAGGACTCCTGAAACTTCTACTCAAGCATGAAACTCTGTGGTCAAGTTGCATCCAGAATCTCATATGGTAGATAACAAAAAAACCTTTCAGCATCTTTCATCTCCTTGAAAACAACTCTCACCTACATGGAAGGATCTTGAATGTTGCTGGACATAGCAATCCCATAGCAGTAGCCTCAGCATATTGAAGATAATTCCATTCTGAACTCAGACAATTTATGTTCTCCCCTTTATTAAAGGAGAAGCTGATCAAGTTAGAGGCAGAGGTGGGAACAGGATCCAAGTCTTTATTTGATTTAATTCTCAAACTTATCTTGGGAATTACTTTATAGCTAATCAAAGATCCCAAGAGTGAGATCAGGGTAGGATGGCTAAAGGGACATTGAGGAACAGAAGAGATCGTATCAAAAAGTCTTCCTGAAGTCATCAGTTCTCCCCTTATGTGGATTCTCTGGGGAATACATGGATGGAGGATGTGGCAGGAGCTTTTCTCTCACATGGACCTCCCGATGTTTGGTCAGAACAGAGACCTTACTGAAATGTTTGCCACAGTGGGCACACCCATAGGGCTTTTCTCCAGTGTGCATTCTCCGATGCTCTCGAAATCGTGTACAGTTATTGAAACTCCTTTCACAATCCATGCATTTGTAGGGATTCTCTCCAGTGTGGACCCTGCGGTGGGCACTGAAATGAGAACTGTTGGTGAAGCTTTTCCCACACTCTTCACACTGATAGGGTTTCTCGCCTGTGTGAGTTCTCTGATGTATGATGAGACTTGAGCTCTGACTAAAGCACTTCCCACACTCTCCACAGCTGTAGGGCTTCTCTCCTGTGTGGATTCTCTGATGGGCACCAAAGTTTGAGGAGTCATTAAAGCTTTTCCCACAGTCAAGACATTTAAAAGGTTTTTCTCCTGTGTGGATTCTTTGGTGTCTGATGAGGCTCCTGCTTCTAACAAAGCACTTCCCACAGACACTACACTTATAAGAGTTTTCCTTCTGGTGGGTCATCCGGCACAGAAGACGAGCACTCCTTCCAAAGCTTTCTCCATACTTTAGAAGTCTGTAGGGTCTCTTCCCCATGAAAGGCCTCTGATGCACTACAGCTTTCCCTAAATCTCTAGGCTGAGACATCGGCTTTCCCTGTCTGATTCCTTGATGGTTTTCCCATTGTGTTCCTGAGATACATTCTTTTTTACAATATTTACCTGGATCAGTATTCTGGGAGATAATTCTTTTAGACTTTTCTATCAGCGTTTTGTGCTGCTCCATGTCCTTATATATTACCTGTGTTGCATCCTCCTTGATATTACCTCCAATTTCAAAATCTGAAAAAAAGACAATAAAAATTTCAGAGCAGTCCTATATTAACATAAACATGGCCTTCAAGGCTTCATCTGTTAGGATTCCATGTACACTTCACTGGCTTCAGGTCCTTTTACTCTTCCCTGATTCATTATGCCTTATTTTCATTCAGTTCTAAGAACATCTAATAATACCTAGTTCAAAGTAGGCCTTCAGAAATGTCTTCTGAATTGAATTGCTCCTCATCTATGTCCTAATTAAAATGGGAGCAACTTGTCTTATCTCCCCGAAGTTCCTCTTTAATTCATCCTGCTTTCAAAGTATCACTTCTATCCTAAAATACAGTATATTACACTAGTGTATAGATTCTAGTGATCAAGTCCAAATTTCTCAATGGACTTTTAAGTTCATCAATATTTAATCATATCCTACCCAAGAGTACTTCTTTTTTCTCCTTGAATGTTCCTGTCACTGTTTTTCTGGCTGTCTCATACAAACCACACTAATTCAACCTTAGTTTTCACTGTTCTCCAAACTAGAATGATCTTCTCCTTACTCTTTCAGCTATTGCCTATGTTCACTACAAGGTACATCTTGGATCACAGCTTTTTCTAGAAGTTCTCTGGATAGTGAAGAGACACAGGCTTTGGAATCAGACAGCTCTGGTTCTGATTCTGTCCTGGTCACTTAATTATGTGGTTTTACTTAACTTTTTTTACTATGAAAAATTCAAACATACAGAAAGGTAGAGAACTGTACATACAATCAGCTTCCATGAACCACGCACCAGCTTTAACAATGATCTCTCATTGCCAATTTTGTTTCATCTCTATTCCTATATGCTCCCTGTCCCCTCTACCCAGATTATTTTGAAGCAAACTTCAGACACTGTATTATTTCATTCATAAATATTTCAAAAGCTGTGTAACTTAGGCCAGGGTTGGGTGATTATCAAACCTTTGTTCATAAGCATTTTGCTATACTGCCTTGTTTCTACTTGCCAGTTTCAACATTACTTTACTTCCACATATTGAGTTGAAACTGCTGGAATCCCTCCGTCCCAAGTGGGACAGCTGTGGCATGAGCTGTGGGGAGGAGGCAGCCATCAATCATTCCATTAATTCAAGTAAAAAGCCCTGGAAATGCCACTGTTCAATTAGCAGTTCTTTTGAAGCATTCTGAGTGGGTCTAATGCTGCTTTGGAATCTGGAGGAAGTCATAGCCTAGTAGTAGTTGGTTCAGACAGAGCCTGATAATTTGATGACAGATCTGGAGTTCAACTTAAAAGACAAGATTCACAAGAGATAGTACCACAGGATTTTGTTTCCAGAGTTATTAACCAGGGTAGGACTTAACAATTTCAGCCTTCATACTACAATTTCCAACATAATACTACCAGAGAGCATGTGTATGAATGTCCTCCTTCTCTAATGTTTACTTTGAATTAACACAGAGTTTTGAAATGGAAATAATAACAGGTAAGGACAGAAAGATAAGAGCCCAGATTAAGGATGGCTGGTGGAACATTAATACAAGGCCAAGAGAGAAAACTGGTCTGGAGACATTTACAGCAGTCTAGCCAACAGACACAAAGACTGAACTAGGGTATGGGCTACAGGAACTAAAGAGGGGACAGATAGAAGTTCTACAATAGTTAAAAAAAAAGTGTTACTGCCTGGATGTAAATAATGGGAGAGAAGGCATAAAAAATATCTCTGAAGTTTTAAGTGTGGAGGACCTATAGGAGGACATAGGGAAGAGCCATGGGGTAGGAAGGATGGTGATTTTAATTTTGAAAATTTAAGTCTGATGAGATGCTCACAAGGGTTTCCAATAGTCAGTGGGAAATACCCAGGTGGAGCTGAGAACCAGGATAAAGCCTCTCTCTCTCATTTGGTCTCTGCCTGTCCTTTTTCTCATGCATATCACACATCACCGAGATGTTTCTGTTTTGGGCTTACTGACACCCTCCTTCACCTGAGTTTTTCTCATGTACAATTCCAAATTTTCTCCCCCCCAAAATTTTTAGGAGATATAAAACATTGCTTGATCCATACAGAAAAAACTGAGGCTGAAATCCCCAAAACTGAATCACTAGAATGTAAGCTCCTTCCTTGAATAGAAGCACCATGAACACACAAACTCTGTTTTACTTTGCTATATCCCCTGTCCCTCAAACTGCACAGGACACTCAAATATTTAATGAATACTCCCAAATGACATACCAGATCTACTAATTTTTCAGTAAATCACACTCTCTTTTAGACTACAACCCTTCGATGATACTTACCATTTGGGTTTTGCAGTAGACCTGGAGGTCCCTGGAATTCTGACTCTTGTTCAATTTCTTCCTCACTCATTCTCTCGCTGCCAGAATCTTCTACTATTTCCTCTTGTGAGGTCTCCTCAAGTTCCCAGCCTGTAGGTTCCCGGGGTTCAATCTCAATATCCTCTCTTTCTTGCCTTGAAGGTGGTGGGACTTCTTCTGGGGTGCTGGTGGAGGGGACAGATGCCCGAGAGTTTATCAGGGCATCCATTTCCTTGTAGAAAGCACAGGATTCTAGCACGTGACCATTTTTCACTTTGCGGTAGCTCTTCTGAAGGCTTTTGAACTTGGTCCTGCACTGTTCTGGTGTCCGGAGGAAACCACATTCCCGCAGCTGTTCCGCCACGACCCCATACAATTTGCTCTTCCTATGGCAGGACTGAAGTGCTTCATAAAACCGAGTCTCAAGGAGGATATCAAGAAAAGTCTTGGTCTCCTCATAGCCCCAGTGTACACCTGCCATTCAAGGATAAAGTTCAAAGATATAAGAAAAGGCGTTTGTAGCTTCTATACAAAATTACAAAATATAAGAAGTAAAAAGAAAACAAATCCCATTCACAGTAGCAACAGGAACTATGATATGCCTGGTATAAGCTTTGCCAAAAATGAGATCTATATAAAAAAATCTATAATATTTTAAGACATAAAAGAACTAGAAAAAATGAAGAGATAGGAAGAATCAAGTTGTACTGATATCAATTCTCAGATGAATCTATAAAGTAAAAATTCCAATAGGATTTTTAACTGAAATCGATAAACTAATCTCAGTTTACTTGGTAGAGTGAAAATGCAGTCCCCCAACCTAACACTCCTCTGGTGATTAAGGATTTAGCTGTCTTTTCAAGTTAAGAATAATGGTCTGGGACACCCAGTAGGAACTTTCCCCCAAAGTTCCTATCACTTTTTTAACCAGTCTTCTTTGAAGAGCAGAATTATGTTCATTAGAGTAGTTTTTGAGGTCACCGAGTCCTCTATTTTGAGAGATGAAATGTTCTGTAAGACAAGCAGATGTCCGGCTTCTATAGCAGAACAAAATTTTCTAGGACATGTCAGAATACAGTTTGTACACTCTACTTTTTGTGTTTTGTAAGCAGGAAAAAGTCATTTCTATCCTTACCTTACTGGGTGGTCTCTTCCAGTCCCTCACTGGATTCCTGTATTTGAGACCACTCTATGTCAGTGGATTTCCAGACTGGTGAATACCTGTGCATGCTTAACGTATCTTCCAATCTTTTTCCTGAGAGCTATTTCTTTTGAACAGGTACAGTCATGCATACATACACTCCCAGCTCTCCTGCCTGATTTATTTTTCTGTTCTGAGAACTTAACTTTTCATAAGGTAGAGAAACATTACTAGTAACAGTGATACCAGGCAATGTTTTATTGCATGTTAACATTTGCAGAATGCCTCCATGCATGTCATCTCACTTAACTAACAACCCTGGCATTCTCAGTCATACTGGACAGATGAGAAAACTGAAGCTCAAAGTACTCACATGATGTGTCTACTGTCACAGTTATTAACTGGCAGTTAAGTCCTGCATGTCCCAGCACCCAAACTACACCAGTTTTATTTTGTATGGTGCATGGTATAGCTTCTTCTGTCCTTTTAATTTCAATGTCTCTGTGTTATTATATTTAAAACATATCTCTTGTAAGCAACATATAGTTTTTTTAAGTTTGCAATTGAAGATATATTTGGGTTTACATCTAACTCTTTCTTTCCTTTCTTGTCTTCTTTTAGAATTTCATTTTTTACTCATTTTTTTAGTTACACACTCTTTCACTGGTTATTCTAGATAGTATCACTACAATCTCACACACTTGACTGCTTTATACCAAGTCTCAGATAATGTTAGATCCTTAGAGCCCTCTGACTCCATTTCTCTTCCTTCCATAGGTCCCAAGTACTCAAAATCCATGCTGTGCTCCAACCTCAAAAAGAACCCTCCATGGCCACTCAGTGCTATACTAAAACTGCACTGGGGGCAGCAACAGACACCTGAGAACACTATTAGTTATGCGACCAGTCACAGTGATCGAGGCAAAGTGTGCATGACAGCACTCCTCAGGCCTGGTCACTTCTGGACTATTCTTTTCCCCACAAGACCACAATCATCCATTTTCAAACCAAACAAAAGCAAAATACTTACCACTCAGGTTCTGAAACAAGACAGGGGTACCACGCATCTCAGACTTTCGGATAAATTCGATGCCCGTTTCCTCACTATCAGATTCTTCTGCAGCTTCCTCCTCCTCCATCAGACTGATCTGTTCTTTAGCACCGACACCAATTCTTTTTAGTCGAGGGAGAGACACAATCTCTTTTGGCTTGTCAGTGGGTGACACATGAGCTGCAGGGTTCAACAATGCGTCCATGTCCTCAAAGAAGGCACAGGGCTCGAGCACGTGGCCATTTCTCACTTTTCGGTAGCTCTTCTGGAGACTTTTGAACTTGGTCCGACACTGTTCCGGAGTTCGGAGAAAGCCACACTCTCGCAGCCATTCAGCTACAGCGCCATACACCTGACTATTTCTGGGACAAGCCTGAAGTGTTTCATAAAAGCGAGATTCTTTGAGAATTGCGAGAAATGTCTTCGTTTCCTCATAGCTCCAATGCACACCTGCTATCTTTTCATCTTCTAAGCCCCACTGTTGCTGCTCTCTCCGCATCTTCCCTGCATTCCTTGCAGGAATCTGAACAGCATGAACTGACTTTTCCTTGATGCAGTTGCTTCGTAGACTATTCCTTTTATTAGAGTAATGCATCCATAGCTCCTTTCTTTGCTCCACCTGGGCTATCTTGTTAGAAGTAGATACTGCACTTCCTATAGTGAGAGAAACATACTTCATACTAGACGTAGAGATCATTCATTACTGCTGCCCACCTTCTGCTGCAGCATGCTCTCCTGGACCACTGTCCTTCAAAGATCTTGTCCAATCACCTTTCTTCTAGGGTCCTCCTCCACCATGACAGTGCACACTATAGTTACTGGTACATGAGTTCTCTGGCACAATCATCTACTAACTCATACTATGATTTTACTTCCCATGTATGTACCACTTATTTCCCCAGCTGGTTCTTAAAGGAAAACCTTTAAGGGTAAGAAACGTATTTTATTACCTCACGGTATCTAATGCTGTGCTAGGTTCAGAGTATGCTCCTGACCAGTATTTGTTACTTATAAAATAAAGTGTGCTTATATCTGCTTCCAACATCTCCCCACCCCAACAAAACACACATACACACACACTGGGCTATGAGAAATGAGAAGTAAGAATTCCTGGACACATGTGGCAAGCTAAATAGGAAAGTGATGTAAGAATCGGGAAGCAAACTGAGAATATGTTATTGTACAATACTGTAGAGAGTAACTTGTCTTAAATGTGTGTCCTAGCTCCATCACTGACTTTATTTTTTTGATCAGGGAAGTTTCTTAATTTCTCTGAACCTCAGTTTCCTAGGGAATATCATCATCTATTCAAAGAAGTGCTGAAAATATTAAGTGAATGATCATCTCTGAAGTGTCCAATGCCCACTAAGTTTGTAATAAAATTTAGTTTTCTTCTCTAGGTAACACACAAAGCGGCTTCAGGGAATTCTTCTAGAGAAACAGCATCAAATCAAACCTTCTGAAAGAACCTGGAGATGGAAGTTTGCTCTTTATTTTTACACGAGAGAAGTAAGTGTAGGGACAACATGAGCTCAACATCTATAAGGACTAGGCTGGCAACGTAACGGCATGAGGTGGCAGTTCAGCACGAGCTCTCTTATTCTGTGGGTCCATGGTGCTTGGCATTTGCTATTTTAAGAGATACTGGAAATCCAGATTTACAAACTGAATTTAAATTTAAAATGCTGTGCAAGGCCAAAATATGTGTATAGGCTAGATAATGAGCCATTAGTTTATAATCTATGATAAAAAATGAGGGCAGGGGTCTCTGGGCCTGGGTCTTTATGATTATATGTGAAGGTGCTGGGCTAAATCTGTACTAAAGTATAGTCCTTATCCCACTCCTGCAGAGTTTACAAAGGACTAATTCAGCATTTACTAGGTCTGGATGCTGTGTGATCCAAGACAACATTAGGAAACATCCATCGTGTACACAACTAGGTGGAGGGCTGGGATGCCCGCTGTTTTGGGAAGAGTGCTTTGTTACTGATGTGTCATCAGTTGGTCTTTAAAAAAAAAATTGCTTTCTATATAAACAACTGTTGGTTTATCTTATTCATTCAGTTTGACATGCTCCATTTTATAATCTCTATACTTTAGTGTTGCGTTTTATGTATACTTTTATGTAGCGTTGTCCAATGGAACTTTGTTATGATGGAAATGTTCTATAACTGTGTTGTCCAATACAGCTACCGAATTCCTTCAATGTGGCCACTGCCACTGAGGAACTGAATTTTTTAACTTTATCTAATTTTATATATTTAAATAGCCATATGTGACTAGTGGCTACCGTATGAGATAGCACAAAGCATCTCTAGTGTATATTAGTGCATGTTTTAGGCCTATAATTTTAGTTATATGTAGTCTTTGACTAGTAGTTTGCATATGAATGAAGTCCTACTGCTAAAGCAGAGTTTGCTTGTAAAGTGACACTTCAGTGGTGATATGTGCCTGTAAATTTATGCTATTTAAATAATTCACAACACACTATTGAGGTTATTGTATTAAAATTACTTTTTTTCTATTTATAAGATTTCCATCCACATAACAAATATTTGCTGGGCACCCACCCATGTGTCAGGCCCTGTGAAAATTGTTGGGTTTACTATAGTAAAACAAAAACAAATCCCTAAGAGACCTCATGAATGAAGTTTTTAGAAGATGTGTGTAAGTTTACATTGAGATAATATAAATATGACAGTCACATATAACACCTCTCCAATGTTTTAGTCACTAAATTATAAGCATATAAATTTTAAACTGGAACAAAGGAATGAGTGAGGTAAGAGAAGATGGATACGTGGTTACTAGGTCTAGTAAGCTAGATTGCAAAAATGATTCGACAACCCATGAAAATCTTTAAAGTGTTAACATTTATAACTATTTTATCATCAGTAGAATGCATATGTTATAAATCCCCAAATCTTTTATCCAAAAAGGGAAAGAATCCTTACCCAAGGAGACCATGTCCCCAACATTCTCCTCCCTAATATCCCGGTAGAGGTCTCCGTGAGCCGGAATCTGATGCACACTCTTTTTGTAGGAAAAACCTCTCGTCACGTGGACATCTTTCACTGGTCCCTGTAACAACACTAACAGCAATGACTACCAAGATAACCATACGGGTCTTTGAAGGATGAACAATATTGAATAAAGCACAGAAGGGCCTTAAAGAAGAATTAAAATCAAGGAACCAAGTGTACATTAGGGCCAAATGAAACAGAAGATACTATAAAGAATCATAAGACAGATGATCCACCAATGTGTCCCCCATTACTCAGAAAAATGTCCAATCTTTTCTGAAAAAGGAACAAGGGGGAAAAGGTCTCTTGGTTGGAGTATAAAAATTTGAGGACAGTGAAGGCCCAGGAAATCATTGTGACTGAATACCCTAGAAAGGAAGTCCAGGGAGGACAATACAATTTACCTGAAACCCAACAGGAAGTTTCGTGGTTGTTACTTCCTGATCTATGGTGTTCCATTCTTCATCAGGAATGGGAACCCAGGGAGAAGGGCGAGCTGTAACAGAAAGAATCAATTAGTGTGCGGGCTCTGGCCCTTTAATTCATGCTGCTTCTCCTCTTAAGAAATGAGCATGTTACAAAAAAGCAACAAATACAAACTGATCATTTTCTCCATGAATTCAGAACTATGCCTGAAACCATGGTAACTTAAAGCAGGACTCACAAATGCCAATGCTTTTAGGGAGTAAGCCGATACAGCCAATCAGGAAAGGGGCCAGGCAAGGCGTGTGGGGAATGAGAGAGCACATGTCCCATTGAAAGGGTACAGCAATGCTCAGTCCCAGATGATGCTTCTTTGTGAGACTATGGACCCGGGATAGCCAAGCTTCTAATTTTTTTCAAGAGAAGTCAGAAATCTGGACTTTTGTGCAAAATATCAAAAGTCTTAATCTTGAGAACTAAAACCAACCAACCAAACAAAACCCCCAAACCAAAAACACTTTTGTAGGTGAAACAAAACAAGTCTGACTTGGCATGTGCATGACCTGTTTGCAACCTCTAGTATCAGTTAATCCCCATCAGTAGCTAAAGAAGTTACATGGTCCTGGACACTACAGGCAATACACCCCTTGAAAGATGGAATGAAGATATACAAACTTATAATCAGCAAGTCTGTAGTCTAACTTCTACTTATGAACTGACTATCCAGGGAAAACTTCCAGAATAAATATTACTGTGACCAAGAATTCAAAAGCTTGTTACACTACTTTTCTATAGAAGCAAATCAAATTACTTCCTTGGAAACTTATTATTCCCTTAGACACACACATGGCTGAAATCACAGGTCTTCTTTTAGAATTCACCTGAGATATTTATCCCTCAAATTTTCTATCCTGCACACTCCTAAGTACTTCAACAGACCAAACTTTCCACTTTAGGAATTCCTTATCATTCTGGGATGTCAAAATCCAGAAACACCATGAATTTACTGTACTAAGCTTATCAGCTAAAGTAACTGGGAGTATTTAATCCACATGATAAGGGAATTTAGATACTGATGAACACATACTAGAAACTTCAGAAACCATTAACATTTGCAATGCATTCTATCATAATATGAATTTTGGGAGGGATAAGGAAGTACAGTATACAGTACTGGATCTTGTCTTTTGGTGAGGAGTTGTGTAAGTCAGATTTAAAGTTTAACAATAATCATGCCATTATGGGAGAAAGGAAACTAACATTAACTGAGCACTAGTATGTATTGGCTTTCTTACACTGCCTCATTTAATCTACACCAACCTTATTATTTTCCTTTTACAAATGACAGAATGGAAGTTTGAGAAGTTACCTGACAAAGGCCACAGATAAAGAATGGCAGAGTTGGGTTCTGAACCCAGGTTGTCTGTCACTTCTATGTATTAATCTCCTGTTAATATGACTTGCCCAAGATCAGAGAGGGAGGGGCAGAGAGGATGTAAGCCTATCTTTTTACAGGAGGTTCAGTGATCTTTCCGTTCTTCTCTTTCAGCCTGACATCACATTGCCAGGGATGGAGAGATCACTGTGGACTGCAAAGGACAGGGTGCTCATTTCCTCGTGTCTGACTTGATTTGTGAATGTCTGGGGCAGCTATGAACATCAGTGGCCCCTTCTCTATGAAGTCTTATGTTTATCCTTCTCATATGCCAATTACATAGTGCCTAACTTATAAGTCAATTTTTGAAAATAAATGTCTTATTTCCCTTTCCAAACAGTTTTCAAGTTCTTTGTAGTCAGCCAAGAACACATCCACATATACAGATGGCAGGACTAAAATTGCCATGGAGATCCTTAAGTAACACTGCAAGACTTCAAGGCCAGCTTGGGAAGTCTAAGTTTTCCTAGGTTCAATCTTTAAGATCCCTTTTACTTATGCTGCACATATTCCCAACTATTGAAGTCTTTCTCCCCAATATTCAATTTATTCTCAAATATGTATTGAGAGGACAGTACTCTGAGGAAGTCACAGGTTAAGACTACAAAACAAATCTGCCATGGTCTGCCCTTGGCATCTCTGAGCTCTTACCATTCTTGGGTAAGGGCCGCTGCTCTCTCTTTGGGGTCAGCTGCTCCTGGTGTCCTGAGTGCAGGCTTCCAGCTTCTTCCCGAGACACCACTCTGGGCGGGGTCTCTGGCGGAAAGTCTGCCACACCCCACACTGCTCCACGTGGGGCTTGTTTCTCTGACTGCACAGGGCTGCAAACCTGGGAAATAAAGCCAAAGCCATAGCAAAAAAAGGGAGAAAAAGACAGCAAAGAAGGCTAGACGACAAGAGAAGGAATGACACTGCGGTCCATTCCCAGTGTAGGCTCTAAGGTCAGTGGGTTAATAGAACTGTCCAGAAGTCTGGACATAAGGGAATGGAGAGTGCTCTTCAGTAACACATAGAGGGGAGATCTGTCAGGTGTGAAGTACGCGCCTTCCTGTTATTAAAATAGAGATCATTTGAGTCCTCACATCTACTAGGCTCACAGAGAATTGAGTTATCAGAACACAAATTCACTGGTGAAAGGAAAACATACTAGTAAGCTTAATCTCCACATCTCATGTCTATCCTTGATGGACACAGAAACACGCTGGCAGTCAGACCTTTACACAAATGCAAATCCGTGCAAGCGAAACTGCAAATCTGCAGATTCATGAGGTTAATGGAAGGGCTGCTGAAAAACAACCAGAAGATCATGCAAGCCACTGACAAATGCAGATCTGGCAGGTAGACTGGAAAAGAGTGACCGGATGATGGCGTTAAGGTGGCCTAAGAAGACAGGGACTGGCACAGTGAAGGATTAGAAAGGGTCCAGGGATCACTGCTTAAGTCCTTACCGCCCCCACCCCCCCACCCCCAATAGTCCTCTTCAGGATCAAGCTGAAAAAGTTAAATCCTGTGAAGCATAAATTCTCGCATAGAATTTTTTTTGGGAAACATTACTGCCAAAGACTTGAAACAAAATATTTAGGTGAATATGGTTTAGTTTCATTTGCAAGATCCTATTTCAAGCAAAGCTTTCTGTTCTACTTGCTATTCAAGTGGCTTCACTTTGAAGGTCCTTCATTAGTACCACTATCCTATCTAATAAAAGACAAAAAGGGTAATTGACCGTACCTTCGCTATGCTTCCCATGGGCTAATCAGTAAGATATGCAAATTAACCGCCAACAAAGATGGTGGCCGGCAGCCACGCAGCTGAAGCGAGCAGGAGGCTTGCTTGCTCTGGTGATGGAGGAAGCCAAGGTTCCCCGCCTGCCGCAGCCCGGCTCTGAGCTCCGAAAGCAACAAAGTTTCAATTATAGAAGCTAAACAAACCCCAGATACCTGCTTTCAGCAGGCTGTGGCCTCAGAGCTGCAGCAAGCAGGAGCCAGCTCTCAGCTCCAGTGACAGCAACAAAGTTTCAATTATAGAAGGTAAATAAATCCCAGAATTAAAAAGAAAAAGAAAAAAAGGAGAGGCTGAGAGCTTCAGTCACTGGCCAGCCTGAAAACGGCCCTCAGCCCCTCACCCAGACTGGCCAGGCACCCCAGTGGGGACCCCCACCCTGAAGGGGATGTGACCAGCTGCAAACAGCCATCAGCCAATCACCCAGGCTGACCAGGTACCCAAGCAGGACCCCCATCCTGATCCGGGACACCCTTCAGGGCAAACCAGCCGACCCCCACCCGTGCACCAGGCCTCTATCCTATATAGTAAAAGGGTAATATGCAAACTGATCCTAACAGCAGAAAGACTGGGAATGACTGGTCACTATGACACACACTGACCACCAGGGGGCAGACGCTCAATGCAGGAGTTGCCCTCTGGTGGTCAGTGCGCTCCCACATGGGGGAGCTCTGCTCAGCCACAAGCCAGGCTGACGGCTGCCAGTACAGCAGTGGTGGTGGGAGCCTCTCCCGCCTCCTCAGCAGCACTAAGGATGTCTGACTGCTGCTTAGGCCTGCTCCCCACTGGCAAGTGGACATCCCCCGAGGGCTGCCGGGCTGCCAGAGGGATTTTTTTTTTCCATTTTAGGCCCAATTCCCCCGGGGGAGCAGGCCTAAACCCAACAGGTTGTCATCCCCCAAGGGTTCCCAGACTGCGAGGGGCCACAGCCCAGGCTGAGGGCCCCCCCCCCCCCCCAGTGCACAAATTTTTGTGCACTGGGCCTCTAGTCCTGTATAATAAAAGGAGAGTATGCAAACAGACCGAACGGCAGAACTGAACAACCAATCAAAGCGTAATATGCTAATGATATGCTAAGGGTGTTCAACTGCTCACTATGATGTGCACTGACCACCAGGGGGCAGATGCTCTAACTGATAGGTTAGCTTGCTGCTGGGGCCCTGATCAAGACTCAGCGAGATGGTCCGGACATGCCCTGGAGCCCTCCCAAGTCCTTCCCCAGCCCCATGGTGCACCAGTGAGGTCCCTCAGCCTGGCCTGTGCCCTCTCCCAATCTGGGACCCCTCGGAGGATGTCAGAGAGCTGGCTTCATCCCGATCCCACAGGCCACTCCCCTTGGGAGGGTGCTCATGACTGGCCAGTGCTGCTAAGGCTGGGATGAGCCGGAGCAGTCTGGATCGTGGAGTCAGCCCAATGCCTGCAGGCCACCCAGAGGGACCCCACCCGTGCACGAATTCGTGCACCAGGCCTCTAGTCCTTCCATAATGGCGCTTCCTGCCACACACACCTGGCTCACCCACCCCCCTTTCTAACCACGAACCTTTGGAGAACACGCTCTCACCTGCGCTCTCCGTCTCCCAGCCTCTTCCTCCAAGTGGATGACCAGGGCCACGGCCTCCTCTCCGCTCTGCGGACACTGCTGCTGAGCCCGCG